TCAGAGGAGTCTGACAGCCGTTCCTCTGCCACCCTGCTGGGTGAGCCAGGCCTGGAAGACCTAGTGGAGGACTCCAGTGTCCCTGTGCTGGGGCCCTGCCAGTCTGTGTCCACCAGCTACCCTGAGAGTTCTGCCCCCATACCCTCTTACTCAGAGAGCTTAGCTCCTCAGAATCAGCAGACCTGTTCCTCCACAACCCTGCTGGGTGAGCCAGTGCTAGAAGACCTAGTAGAGGATGCCAGCCTCCCTATGCTGGGGCCTTGCCAGTCTGTGTCCACCAGCTACCCTGAGAGTTCTGCCCCCATACCCTGTTACTCAGAGAGCTTAGCTCCTCAGAATCAGCAGATCTGGGGGGCTCCAGAGAAAGAAGGTGGCCCCGAGGCTCATGAAGCCCAGAGCCAGGTACCAATAGGAGAGGGGCTTGGGCCTCTGTCAGCCACCTGCCAGCAGGCTGATGTGTGGGCCTCGAGGGAGGATGCCTTGACCCCTTTCTTGTCTCAGGAGAACCGAGATCCCCCCAGCCTCCCATCCACATCCCCAGTGGGGTCCAGGGAATCTTCTGTTCACTCGGGGGCAGAAGAGCTGTCCACTCCTCCAGAGCCTGCCTTTCCACCACCCCCTCTCCCTCTGTGGGCCAGCCACCACCACAGGGGGCCTAGCCCTCTGTGCTCCCCCCTGCCTGAAGTCTGGCCCCTGGCCTCTTCCTCTCCACCTCCGGCGGAACCAGCCTCATCCCTTGGCCCCTTTGAGCCCTCCCCACCTGGGGGCTCCCCTGCCCTACTCAGGGAGGATCATGCTGCAGCCACCCCAGCCTCCCCGCTTGTGCTTCTGCCCTTGGAGACACGACCAGTTGAGGAGCCACAACCCAGTGCCAGGTGAGAGGCCATCCCCAAGAACACTTTACAGGAGGAAGAGGGTGGAAAGGACAGAACAGCCCAAGCAGCAGAAGTGTTCACATTCCTGGCTTATCATTTCCAAGGGCAGGTGAGGGTCTCCTTTATCCTAGAGGCAGGATGGTACAAGCTCTCTCAAGCTGTCTCCTTGGGACCTTGGACTATCAGAGTGCCCCCATAGCCCAAGGTTTGGGAAATGACACTGATGAGGTATAGGAGGTAAGAAATGAAGTTGGGGACAGCAGATATGGGCTGGCAGGGGAAGGGGGATGAAAGCCATGCCTTGGGCCCTTCCAGAGGTCTTGCATTCAACCATATGGGGGCTATGGGCTGGGGCAATGGAGCTTGTCAATTGGGCCAGTTCTGGGGCAGGTCTTTGGAGAACAGGCTGGCAGTGGAGCCTTGAGCAATTTCCTGTCCAGATGGGATGAAGGGAGCAGCCTGGGGAAGGAGGGACATAAAGGAGGGACCAGGACTTAAGTCAGAAAGAAAGCCGGAGACAACTTGAGAGGCAAAAAAGAAAAACTAAAATGTTTTCCACATGTGACCCTCAGAAGACAATTTCTCCAGCCTCAGTAAGTGCTTCATTGGTTTGTATCTTGTGCCTTTCAGGAGGTAGTTCTGATGCATTTAGGACTGCTGGGTAGACAGCGGATGCCATGTGACTATGGTCACTGTGGCATTAGTTTGTTTGGAAGAATTGGGTTGTGACCCTACCAGGTGGCTAGTGAGGGGTGATGAGAGCAGAGGCCTGGGTACTCAAAATACTGGGAAGTGATGGGGTATGACTGGGCTGGGGCAGCAAGTCCAGAGAGGCATTAGTGCCCCAGGAGGCCTGTCTGAAGGAGGGGCCAGTACAGCAGGGTACAGGTCTTGGGGAGCAGGGCATCACTGGCCTTGGTTGGGCCCTCAGTCTGCTTGGGTACTCTTCTCTTTCATACATTTGACCACCTTCATGAGTGTCAACTGCATGTCAGAAACTGACCAGGGGTGGACACTGTCCCTAGTCTATTCACAAGGAATTCCCAGTCCAGCAGGGAAGACCCAGTGGACACAGGAAGAAAAGCCCCTGGGGGGCCAGCACTGACCCATGAGCCGATGGGTGGGAGTCCAGGCTACCCCTAGCTTTTTTTTTTTTTTTCTTTTTTTGAGAGTCTCACTTTGTCACCCTCAGGAGCGGGTCATAGCGGGCTTAAGTGATTCTTTTGCCTCAGCCTCCCAAGTAGCTGGGACTACACGTGCCTGCCATAACACCCGGCTATTTTTAGGGTCTTGCTCTGGCTCAGCCTGGTCTCAAACATGTGAGCTCAGGCAATCCACGGCCTTGGCTCCCAGAGTGCTAGGACTACAGGCGTGAGCCACTGCGCCTAGCCTTGCCCCCAACATTTTTCATCAGTGGTACATGGTGCTGCTGCTGTTCCCTGAGATTTGGGGGTGGGGGTGGGGGCTGGTGGCTATAGTGTCCTCAGCTGGGCCTTCTGTCTTCCAGCATGACCTCTAATTATACCTGCCACTTTTTTTTTTT